GCCTCCTCCTCCTCCTTTTCTCCTTCTCCTCCTCCTCCTCCTCCTCCTCCTCCTCCTCCTCCTACCCAATTTCCTTTCTCCTCACCGCCTTCTGCATAAGGCCAACATCGGGTCTACATCGGCTCGAGCATTGCCAGGGACGCTCTTGGCCCACTTACCCCTCCTCCTCCTCCTCCTCCTCCTCCTCCTCCTCCTTCCTCCTCCCCCTTCTTCCTCCTCCTCCGCTTTTCCCCTCCGCTTTCTCCTCCGTCTCCTTTCCTCTCCTCCTCCTCCTCCTCTCCCCCCTCCCTCCTCCTCCTCCTCCTCCTCCTCCTCCTCCTCCTCCTCCTCCTCCTCCTCCTCCTGCCTCCTCCTCCTCCTCCTCCCCTCCGCCTCCTCCTCCTCCTCCTCCTCCTCCTCCTCCTCCTCCTCTCCTCCTCCTCCTCCTCCTCCTCCTCCTCTCCTCCTCCTCCTCCTCCCCTCTCCTCCTCACTCCTCCTCCTCCTCCTCCTCCTCCTCCACTCCTCCTCCTCTCCTCCTCCTCCTCCTCCTCTCCTCCCTCCTCCTCCTCCTCCTCCTCCTCCTCTCCTCCTTCACTCATCCTCTCCTCCTCCTCCTCCGTCCTCCTCCTTCCTCCTCCTCTCCTCCTCCTCCTGGCCTCCTCCTCCTCCTCCTCCTCCTCCTCCTCCTCCTCGCTCCTCCTCCTCCCTCCTCTCCCTCCTCTCCTCCTCCTCCTCCTCCTCCTCCTCCTCCTCCTTCCTCCTCCTCCTCCTCCTCCCTCTCCACCTTCCCTCGGTCGTCCTCCTTCTCCTTCCTCCTCTTTTTCTTCCTCTCCTCTCCTCCTCCTCCTCCCCCCTCCTCCTCCTCTTCCGCTTCATCTCTCCTCCGCCCCTCATCGCCCAGTCCTCCTCTTCCCCGTCCGCCTCCTCCTCCTCCTCCTCCTCCTCCTTCGCTCCTCTTCCTCCTCCTCCTCCTCTTCCTCGTCGTCGTCGCAACCCCACGACCCCAAGACCCCGCGACCCAACGACCCCACGACTGCACGACCTCATGGCCTCACGACCCCAACACGTTACGACCCCACACCCCCACGACCCCACCGCCGCCAAACTCCAAGACCCCACGACCTCGCGACCCCAGCACCCCACGACCCCACGGCCCCACAACCCCACGACCCCACAACCCCACGACCCCACCGCCCGAAGTCCCCACGACTGCACCACCCAACGACCCCACCGCCCCATGACCCCACGACCGAACGACTCCACGACCGAACAACCCCACGACCCTACGACCCCACGACCCCTCGACCCCGCGATCCCACGACCCCACAACCCCACGACCCCACGACCCCGCGACCCCACCACCCCACAACCGCACGACCCCGCGATCCCACGACTCCTCAACCCCACGCCCAAGCGACCCCAGGACTTAAGGACCCCAGGACCCAGGAACCCCAGGACCACGCGACCCCACAGCGGGACCCCAATCAACAAAAACTTGCTGACGCTACCGCGCACAGGGAAAATCTTGAAAATCGAATGACGACAATTCTACTCTTTATGACGATGTCTTGTTTTACCGAGGCGCCAGCCCGGGGAAACTGGGAACGACTTAACACCAGTGACTGTCCCATTGCTGAAGAAAAAATCGGAGGTTCGGGGGTAAGTCCGACGTGAAACGGAGACCCCCCTACCGGGAAACGACTTCGGTTTCGGGTTGGTGTCGTGCGTGCCGTGCGCGCGTGCGGGCGAGGCGAAGCTGCGTGGGCGGGCGAGAGGAAATCCTCCTGTGGCTGGGCCGCGGCCAGACCAAATGTTTCTCCTCCAGCGGCCGGTGCCGCGCGGTGTCCCGCTGGTGTTCCGAAATCCTCCTGAGGCTGGGCCGCGGTCGGACCAAATGTAACTGCTCCAGCGGCCGGTGCCGCGCGGTGTCCCGCTGGTGTCCCGCTGGTGTCCCGAAATTCTCCTGTGGCTGAGCCGCGGCCGGACCAAATGTTTCTCCTCTGGCGGCCGGTGCCGCGCGGTGTCCCGCCGGTGTCCCGTGGTGTCCCGTGGTGTCCGGTTGAGTGAGATCGATCGTGAGATCGATATGAGATCGATACTGAGATCGATGTGGTGCCCCGAGGTGTCCCGTTGAGTGAAATCGATAGTGAGATCGATAGTGAGATCGGCAGGTGTCCCGTGGTGTCCTGTTAAGTGAGATCGATAGTGAGATCGATACTGAGATCGATGTGGTGTCCCGAGGTGTCCCGTGGTGTCCCGCTGAGTGAGATCGATAGTGAGATCGATAATGAGATCGACAGGTGTCCCGTGGTGTCCCGAGGTGTCCCGTTGAGTGAGATCGATAGTGACATCGATCGTGAGATCGATAGTGAGATCGATGTGGTGTCCCGAGGTGTCCCGCTGAGTGAGATCGATAGTGAGATCGATCATCAGACCGATAATGAGATCGAGAGGTGTCCCGCGGTGTCCCGTGGTGTCCCGTTGAGTGAGATCGATCATCAGACCGATAATGAGATCGACAAATGTCCCGTGGTGTCCCGTTGAGTGAGATCGATAGTTTCTCCCCCCCCCACAACCTCCCTATCACCCGAAGGGTGGTCGTCTAGGTATACGGCATAACAAAACAAATATGTCGGAGGTCCGTGCGGATTTCTTGGGTCCGCGATTGAACCTCCTACCTTGCGTGCGGAGAGCGCCTGGGGCCGGGCCTGAAGCGCAGCCAATGGGCTCCAGCGCCGACTCAAGAGACCCGCGCGGACCTCCGAAAATCTACGCGCACTGCGAGGCGGGTAGTCGTCGACATTTCTCCATCGCCACCCCGCGGGCGGTGGTGATGGATACGTCAAATTCGTGTCGTGCCGACTTCGGCGTTGGCTTCCAACACCGCGCGGATCGTTCAACCTTGAAAAATCGGCCGTTTCCGAAACGTCCAAACCGTTCTACATCGAACGATTCTGGGTCGCCCGCGGCGTGAACGCCGCTGGCGGGGTCGCCGCTGGTTGACACGACATGAACCTACCGTAAACTCCCGCCCTGGATCTGCGAGCTGCGGGCGGAAGGGGGGGGAGGGGGTGGTCTGGCTCCGGACCTCTTAGTGCGGCTGTTTGGAACCGTGCGAAACAATGGCGAAGAATACGATAAGATGGATCATTAGCGGGTTAAGAACGGTACAAAATAAACTTGTCCGTCACCAGGTGCGCTGCCCCAAGGCGGCTGGAAAATTCCCACCTTAACGTGCCGCCGGAAGGGTTAAACTTTCCAGCCGCCCCGGGAGAGGCGCCCCCGACAACGAACAAAAGAGATGCTATGCCGTTCTTCGCCCGTTAAGACACACCCCCGCCCCAGATCTTTCGGGAGCGGCCAAGGGAGGGGGCGTCCAAGATGGGGGGGCGCAAATCATGGCCGGCGTCATGTGCGCGGCCCAGGGGGGGCGCCGGGGACGTGCTGAAATAAGAAGAGGCGCCATGAAATTGAGGGAGAGATCATGGCCTGCACCATGAGATCCCCCCCCCTAGTCGTCACCCCCCTCTTGGCCGCCCCCGTTAAGACAAACCACCGCCCGGGGTCTTCGTGAGTATCGTTTATCCGGTCCCCATCCTCAGCGGCGTGGCCTGGGCCCCAATGGCCGATTCACCCCCCTACATGGGGGTATAGGCCGTCTCCTTCGGGTTTCGAGGGCTGTATCCCCAACTGGGGTGACAATTTGGTGAGGGTCTCGAAGGGGACGAGGACAGGGGATGGTGGTCGGATAAACGATACTGAAGAGGCCCTGGGACACACACAAAGAAACAGACACACAAACATCAGGATTCCCTCATGTTTCCCTAGATCTTCTGGCTTTTTGCCTTCCCCCCCCCACTTCCAATCTTTTCCCATACGTCCTGGGGGATCGACGATCACTTGTGTCCGAGTGTGCTTCTCCCTCCTGCGATGCCGACCTCGAGCCGTGGCCGGGACCTCCGGACCTCCGACGAGGCCCCCCCCCGGCAGCACACTGTCGGGCCGCGGAAAGAGGGAACGCTGACGCTCCGGGGGCCTGACGGGGGCCCCAGGAACCCGACACCTGCCAACAGCTTCCACGAGCCGCTTCCCTCAGGACCCGTCTCCTTCGTGGCGATGTCCTCCCAGTCCGTCCCCCTCCTCTCCGAGTAAATAGGGGGAAACCAAACCTACCTCGCTTTTGACCACCCTCGCTTCCAGGAGATACCAAGCGATGCCAAACTACGGCCTGTACTGGTCAGGCCGCTTGACGAGGAGGCGCGTGGTATGACTGGGTCTTGCCTGGAAGCGAAAGCGGGGTAGGTAATTCACGCTCTGAGACAAATAAGGAGCGAGGCCCCTTCTTGGCCCCGAGAGCGCCTCCGTGCCCCAGCAGGGCAAGAGGAACGGCTCGGGAGGAGCCCAGGGAACACCGGGCCCCTCCCCCGAACCCAAACCGCTCCTCCTTCCAGCGCCTCGACTGTATATAGGCTCCCTGCCGGGCCCCGCGGGGCGGCCCGCACGGCCTGCCGGGGGGGCCTCTGCCGAGCACGTGGGCCCCTGCGCTGCTGCTCCCGGCGGCCACGGCCGCCAGGGGGGGGGGAGGCGAGCGGAGGCGGCACGTCGGCGGCGGCGATGGGGGCGAATAGCCCAGGGGCGGGCACTGCGCGTGTTCGCCCGGGAGCCTTCTCGAAGGCATGGATCATCGGCGCACCTGAATATACGTATTGCTCTCCCCTGGGCTACTCGCCCCTATCGTCGCCTCTGGGCATGTGCTTCGGAGAAGGCAGGGATTGTCGGGGAGGCGTACGACTCGGGTACGGTTAGGTCGGGCCTGTCCCCCTCAAGGGGGATTTTGGACGCAAAATAAAAAATGTCAGAACATATTCATTTTTTTCATGAAATACTCAAAAGATGGTCCCCATATCATGTTTCTTCTATTTGCATATCCCTCCTGTAGAAGGACACGCCCGACTTAAGGGTGCGGGGGACTCGGCTTGGCCTGACGGGGCCATCAAGAAAATGACGAGGCCGTCAACCTCCAGGACGCGCTCGTCAGAAACGCAGGTCAACACGCGTCCCAGCTTAAGTACTCGAGTCTTACGTTCCCCCGAGAGATAGCCTCCCAGAAAGGCCAGAGGCCTGCTCAGCCTTCCGAGGGAGGCCCGCCGCCTCTGTCTCTCCCCCAGGGCGCGCCGCCGAAACAGGCGTGCCGATCGAGCCGCGCTCCTCCGGCCCCCCTCCTCCTCCTCCTCCTCCTCCTCCTCCTCCTCCTCCTCCTCCTCCTCCTCCTCCTCCTCCTCCTCCTCCTCCTCCTCCTCCTCCCCCAGCGCCCCTGCACCACTTCCAGAGCGGGGAGGCCTCGAACGCGCAGCTGTCCCGGCAGCTCAGGGCGATCTGGAGCGGTACGTCTGCCTCTGGTTGCCCGGCGCTGAGGCCGTGAGGACAAAGATGGGCCATGTCACGGAAGATGCAACAACTGCGCTTGTGCTTGCTTCCGTGATCCGTCGTCTGTTTCTGGATGGAACGCGACAAGCGTCAGTCTTGCCTCGCCCACACTTGAACCATGATCTCACGCGATCAAACGCTCACATTATCACCACGACAACGATGCGGGCATGCGGATAACTGTTTTGCGCATTTGATCTAGCCTTCGGATTGGCTTGGATTTCGCTGCCACCTTGAGATTTCGTCCGTGATTCCACAGTTTCCCAGTGCGCTGGAGCGGTCTGCTTTCTACCAAGGCTTGGATTCTCCATCGAAGCATCAAGAGCCCACTCTCCTATCTACGTCTAGGAGGCGGTGGATATGGACGACGTCGTGCCCCCCCTCCCCCCCCCGCCCTCCAGGGAGCTCGACATCATCCCCAGGTGACCGACATTATTTCTTTTTCTCTCTCTCTCTCTCACACTCTCTCTTCGCCCCCCCTCTCTCTCACTCTCTCTCTCTCTCTTCCACCCCTGTGAGGCGGTCGGGCAGGCGCTCGACCCCCGCCTCTGGGCGCAAGACCCCGACTTGCTCCTAAATGGCTCGACCCTGCGGATGCAGCCCCATGTGAATCTCGTGGGTAGCTTTAAGTCGGGCCTGTCCCCCTACAGGGGGACGTTGGGAGAAACATCAAACATACTAAACAACATACCCTCCCAATGGGCAACAATACTAAAACAAAATCGTCCCCAGACTAAAAAAAAATAGATTGGAGGACTATTCAAACATAGTTTTTTACTGTTTGAATATTCCTCGTGTAGAGGAACAGGCCCGACTTAAGGGTAGCCATGTGAGCCATGCTGGCCGTCTGCGGCTCTGGCCACGACCTAAAACTGACCGCGCTTACTCAAGCGGAAGTCCTCCTCGCGGTGCGATGTCAAGTCCGCCAGGACTCGCAGCTGGGGGCCATCGCTGAAATCCTCTGCCAGTGGTCCAAACCGCTGCGGGGGCAGGACCTATCGGCTGGCTTTGGCAGGCTGTCCACCAAGTAGACTGGCAATGACCCTCTTTTGGCGAGCTCGGGTACGGCTGGTGCGCGAGACTCAACCGGCGAACTCGACGAGGCCTGGGGTGCGAGACCCACATGCTCCGCGCTCCCCAATGCCAAAAAACCCACATGATCTTGGGCCCCTGGGCACCGTGCGTCCAGTGGCTGGACATGTTCGCCACCATCTGGCTCAAGCGCAGCAGGGGCAGAGCCAAGTGCACTGCCTGGCAGCGCGGGCTCCTGCGCAACTACCCCCGCGGTGGTGACCACACGGCAGCGGATGTCTAGAGCTAGGCATTCCGCGGACGCGCCTCCAATGTCGCTGGTGCGATCAGGAGCACGGAGACTCCGCGGTTGCTCGACCTTCACTTCGAGCTGTCGCACGACTCCCTCCGGCAGCCTTTTCCTCGGCCCCGGCCAGAGACCGAAGACGGGGACGTCCACCAAGAAAACCTCGACCCAGCTACTGGCCATCGCTCGGACGTCCATTCCCTCTGCTTTCTTCGGTTTCGTGCGAGGATTTTTCGCCACATGATCAAGAATCGGGGATGGACAGACCTCCCCTTAGTAAAACGTGGTTTAGTGAAAACGACCTCGGGCCCAAACCTGGCAGGCGCAAGCCTGGAAAATGACGGCCGCGGCGCCCTCTAGAGAACCGAAAACGGACAATTCACTAATCGACGTGTCAGGGCAGGAGGTCTGTCCACCCCCGAAAGAATGCTCTTCGATGGGCCTCGCCGAAGGAACAATGCACACGTCCGAGCGATGCCAAGGCCACGGGGTAGAGCAGGGCCGCCACGCACGGGGGCGCGCAGCCCTCGCGCGCGCCCCTCGCTGCTCGGGCTGCGCATGGTGTCTTCCGTGGCACGGGGCACCGGCTCAACTGCGCCCGTCGGAAGCTGGGCGAGGGCTGCTAAAACCGTGGCTGCTAAAACGGCCCTCCCGGAAGGAAAAGAACAACTTCCCGGAATGAGGCGCGGCACGCGAAACAGTCAACGGGCTTCTTCCCGGAAGGACGAAGACAACTTCCCGGAGGTCGATTTTAGCAGCCACGGATTTAGCAGCCCTTGCCCGGCTTCCGAGCCCGCGTCCACGGGGTGGTCCAGTCCGCCCAGCGCGCCGAAGCGCCGGCGCTGCTCCGCCCAGTCGCCAAGGCCGAGCGCCCAGTGAACATCTTCGCCGACAGCCAAGCCGTCGTCGATGAAGGGGCCCTGGGACACACAAATAGATACGCACACAAATGACCAGGTTCCCCTATGTTTTCTCATATTTTCTGGGTTTTCGTCTTCCCCCCCGCTTCCCATATTTCCCCATATCCTAAGATGGGGTTCTTGTTATTACTTGGACGCCTCCTACTCCTTCTCCTTCCTCCTCCTCTTTTCTCCTCCCCTCCTGTCGGACATACTCAGACTTGCTCATACACAGACTTACTCATACTCAGACTTACTCATACTCAGACCTACTCATACTCAGACTTACTCACACTCAGACATACTCATATACAGACTTACTCATACACAGACTTACTCATACACAGTATTAGTCATACCCAGACGTACACATACACAGACTTACTCATACACAGACTTACTCATACTCAGCACCCCTAAGGGGAGCCGCCAGGGGTGGTTGCACGGGCTCGTTCGCGGCCATTTTGTGGGGATGTCTCAGGCGGTTTGCCTGTTTCTGTGCCCAACATCCTTCGCTTTCGGAGCAGATTTGGAGGATGTCTCGAGCGAGGCGCTCATTTCAGCACCCCTAAGGGGAGCCGCCAGGGGTGGTTGCACGGGCTCGTTCGCGGCCATTTTGTGGGGATGTCTCAGGCGGTTTGCCTGTTTCTGTGCCCAACATCCTTCGCTTTCGGAGCAGATTTGGAGGATGTCTCGAGCGAGGCGCTCATTTCAGCACCCCTAAGGGGAGCCGCCAGGGGTGGTTGCACGGGCTCGTTCGCGGCCATTTTGTGGGGATGTCTCAGGCGGTTTGCCTGTTTCTGTGCCCAACATCCTTCGCTTTCGGAGCAGATTTGGAGGATGTCTCGAGCGAGGCGCTCATTTCAGCACCCCTAAGGGGAGCCGCCAGGGGTGGTTGCACGGGCTCGTTCGCGGCCATTTTGTGGGGATGTCTCAGGCGGTTTGCCTGTTTCTGTGCCCAACATCCTTCGCTTTCGGAGCAGATTTGGAGGATGTCTCGAGCGAGGCGCTCATTTCAGCACCCCTAAGGGGAGCCGCCAGGGGTGGTTGCACGGGCTCGTTCGCGGCCATTTTGTGGGGATGTCTCAGGCGGTTTGCCTGTTTCTGTGCCCAACATCCTTCGCTTTCGGAGCAGATTTGGAGGATGTCTCGAGCGAGGCGCTCATTTCAGCACCCCTAAGGGGAGCCGCCAGGGGTGGTTGCACGGGCTCGTTCGCGGCCATTTTGTGGGGATGTCTCAGGCGGTTTGCCTGTTTCTGTGCCCAACATCCTTCGCTTTCGGAGCAGATTTGGAGGATGTCTCGAGCGAGGCGCTCATTTCAGCACCCCTAAGGGGAGCCGCCAGGGGTGGTTGCACGGGCTCGTTCGCGGCCATTTTGTGGGGATGTCTCAGGCGGTTTGCCTGTTTCTGTGCCCAACATCCTTCGCTTTCGGAGCAGATTTGGAGGATGTCTCGAGCGAGGCGCTCATTTTCACCCCCCCAGGTGGGCCAGATTTTGAGGATGTCTCGATCGGTTTGCTAGTTTTGGTGGCCAGGCTCGTGGGCGCAGATTCTTCTCAGGATGCCACAGGAGGCTCCAACAGGCTCCAGGAGGCTCCAGGAGACCACATGAGGTCCCAGGAGGCATCAGGAGGCCACAGAAAGACTCAAGAGGCCACAGGATGTCCCAAGAGGCTCCAGGAGGCCCCAGGAAGCTCCAGAAGGCCTCAGGAAACCACAGGAGACCCCAGGAGACAACAGGAAGCGCCAGGAGGCCTCGGAAGGCAACAGGAGGCCCCGAGAGGCCCCAGGAGCAGGAGGCCTCAGAAGGCAACAGGAGTGGCTCCAATCCCATGTGTTTTACGTATGCTCCTATCGATTGGGCCTCACCTGGAGCACGATTCTTTGATGTTCTACGTATGTTTCTATAGATGGTCCTTCTCCTGTGTACACAATCCTAAATGTTTTACTCATGTTCCTATGTATTGGGCCTCTCCTGGGGCACGAGTCCTTGGTGTTTTACGCGTGTTCCTATAGATTGCCCTTCTCCTGTGGCTCTAATCCGCAATGTTTTATGTACGTCTGTTGCTATAGATTGCGCCTCCCCTGGGGCACGAAACCTTCCTAGGAGGTCCCAGGAGGTCCCAAGAGGCTCCTGGAGACCCCAGGAAGCCCCAGTAGGTTTCAGGAGGCCCCAGGAGGCCCCAGGCTCATGCACAGAGACGCGCTCGTACTACTGAGGCTCATTCACACTCCAATTCATTCGCAGTTAGATTGATGTCCAGACCGTCACAACTGAAGCCCGTTAATATTCGAAAGCTCTTGCGCCTAGACATTCACGGCGGACAGGTCCATGCGAGTAGATGCACATATGGGGAGCTCCACGCAGTGAATAATTTCCCGTATTTTTTGCGGGATGGAGGATTAATCGTGTCTGTATGTTTTTCCCCTCCTGAGTCGACGGCTTCGCAACCCTTCTGGGTGGGGCGCCGCCGCCTCTCGCATGCGCGCAAGCCGACCTGCGGGTTCGACTATGCCGAGTGCTCCAGGCCAAGCCAGGCCTGTTCCGCATCGGGGAGGAAGCCACATCGGGGAGGAAGGTATCCACGCTGGCTACATCCCAGTCCCCACTGAATACCTCAAGCGCCGCACCGACGAACTCGTCGGCGACGTTATCCAGTGCCGCTGTCGCTACCTACGGCTGACGCCACCATGCCCGACCGCTGCCAGGCAGGCGCAGCGGGTATACACCGAAGGGGAGCTCAGCCGCATGGGCACCCGTCCTCAAGACCTGTTACCGCCCCGCCCGCTGGCCCTCTCGATCCCGACGACGACGGTTCTGAACGACCTGTGGGGCCAAACCCAGCACGCCGCGCTGGACGATCAGGGCGACGCAAATCCCCTACACCCGGCGAAATGCTTTAGAAATCATGGGTTAAGAAATTGATAGTCTCAGAATTTAAATAAAAACCCAGAACTTCTATCAAAATCTTGGGATTTACATTCAAAAATTAAGAATAATCGAGACTCTGGCCGAAACTTTAGGTTTTCTTAAGCATCGCCTAAGGTGTACACCTGGATCGCTTCCTTGACGACGACGACAGTCCACCTGCCGTCGGGGGCTCGCAGCCCGCTGCCGCTGGCCGACCTGGGAGGCTCGCTGGCTGCTGACGCGGGCGCCGATCTAGGCCCCGCGGCTGCCTGGGCATTGGCCAGACGCCCCCCGACCCCTCGTCAGAGCACCACGCCCCATAGCATCACAGCTAACGCTGCGCCCCACCCGGCCCGGCGGAGTGTCCAAGCCCGCCCCTGCGAGCCTCCAGCTTCGCGGACCTCGGTGCGTTCCAGCCTGGCCTCGGCTGCCTGCCACTCGATGTGCCAGCGGATGGCACACACACCCGGCCCTGGCCACATCTCGGAGGCCGGGCAGAGCCACGCTGGCTGCCCCCTCCAGCAAGCCAAGGGTGCGTGCCCCAGACCGCCGCCAGGCTCATGTGGGCCCCATCCGCGCCCCTGGCGAGCCGACGGCCCCCCCGCGCCCGCGGCCGCGCAGAGTGGGCGGCTGGGCGCAGGGCCGCTGCCGATGGGATGGCGGCTCTCCTTGCTGCCACCCTGGCCCTTCAACAGCGCGTGCACGCGTGGCCAGCCTCGCCGCGGCCTGCCGCGCGGCCTGGGCCCGCGCCGCTCGAGACTCTCGCTCCGGCCAGCCTCCTGCGCAGCTGCGTGCACGGCGGCCGTTTCCCCCCCTCCGCCTGGGAGGCGCCGCGTCGCCGCGTCGCCCTCGCCCAGGCCGTCGGGCCCTCGTCCTCGACCCGCGCGCCCGCCGCCTGGCTCGCGGCCCGCGCTCCGAGGACGCCGCGCGGTGCGCCTCGCCTCTCCCGCGCAGCTGCCCCGTGCCCGAGCCGCCGATCTGGGCGCGGCCCTCCGCGTGGAGCCCGGCGCGGAGCGCCGCTCGGGGGGCCGCGCGTCGCGCCGTCCACGCCGTCCACGCCGTCGCGCCCGTCTCGGTCGCCCGCCAGGGCCTGAACGCGCAGCTATCCTCGCTGGCTCAGCGTGCGCGGCGCTAGCGTCCGCGGCGCCCGCACATACTCCTGCTCGATGAAAACATGGTCTCTCTCTCTCTCTCTCTTTCTCTCTGTCTTTTTCCCTCCCTCTCTATAGTATATCTTCCCTTCTTCCCCTTGAGGGGGAGGCAAGAGCGGGCGAGGAGGCGGCAGCAGGGGGCGCGACTGTCCAGTCCACGACAATCGGCGGTGGACAAACCGCCCTTCAGTAAACCTCCGCGTGAAGAAGAACGGCCTCGGACTGACACCGAATGCCCCGGACCCGCAAAAACGACGGCCGCGACGTGTCAGGGCGGGAAGTCTATCTGCCTCCGATACAAGCGCGCGCCAAACTGCGTCTGCCGACCTGCTTGGCAAGGCTACGCTTGTCTTGGACTCGGTGCCGAGGGGGGAGGCGGGAGGTCGGAAGGGGGAGAGAAGCGGGGGCGACAGTGCGAGGCATGCGCGCTGAGGCAGTAGTCGTGGTGGGCGGACACGATTTGTGGCCGTGGTGGAGGGCTTCGCGGTCGCCGCGGCCACGGCGGTCGTGAAAAAGGGAGTCGTGGTCGTCGCAACGGTCGCGGTGGTGGTCGTGCGCAAGTGGTCACTGGGCTGGCGAGGGTACTGGTCGTGTCGGTGGCCGTGGTCGCAGTGGTGCTCGTCGTGTCGGAGCTGGTGGTGGTCGCAGCGGTGGAAATGGTGGTGCTCGTGCTTGTGGTGGCTCTGGGGCCACAACGCCCGTTTGGTTGCTCACGCCGCGCTAAACAACATCTCGGCGGTGCCGAAGAGCAAGCCGGCGCTGGATCTGCCGCCGCATGGTGAAAATCACAACCGGTCGCTCGGACGAATCCCGGCCGCAGGAGCGCACGAAAACGACCAGCTCGTCAGCCTGCTGGCCCCAGGACTCCAAAACAGCTGGGACCAGCTCCCCCCAGACGGGGGGTAACGCGTCCGCTTTCAGTCGGCGGCCTCGGTTGCCGCCGTTCCGTCCGTGCAAAACATGTTGTCGCTGTGCTCGCTGGCGACAGACCACTCCACGTAGCCGAAGGAGTTGGTGGCGGGGTAACGCGTGGCCGCGTCGAGGGTGGCCTCCTCCCATGCGCCCGTGGTGGGGCTCTGGCGGTCCCAATCAGGGACGCGCTGCTCACTGGTGGCCTGCCTGGTGACCATTCTGAGCGTTGTGCCACGGCGCACTCCTGCCTCGCAGGGAGCTGTGCCGGCAGTCCCTGCCGCCCCCGCGCCCGCACCTCCTGGCGTGCCAGAGCTCCGTCCGGCAGCGCCCCGCACAGCGGGCCGTCTTGCTCGCGGCGCTGGCTGCGCAGGCCTCGGGCTCATGCGTCGCCGCCGAGACGGATGCCCAGGAAGTGTCGTCGTGTGGGAGGGGCGCGTCGCCCCCCTTTTGCGCGGGAGGAGCCGGGCCCTCCGCCCCCGGGCCTCCGCCCCCGCGTGGAGCGGGCTGGCCGTCCGGAGGAGCCGCGCCCTCTTGGCAGCGAGGCCCTTTTCCCCCAGTGCCCCTGCAGTTTGGTCTTCGGCTGGGGCTCTCTCTCTCTCTCGGTCTCTCTTTCTTTTTTTTGTGTTTTTCTCTCTCTCTCTCTCTTCTCTCTCTTTTCTCCTTCGGTCATGCTTCACTTGCACGCTGTCGTCCACCGTGGCTGCTGTGACCTGTGATCTCACCATGAGCTGGAACAGAACACAGTGAGGAGGAAGAGGAGGAGCAAGAGAGAGAGAGACCAGAAGAGGACGAGAGGGGGCGAATGCTGGCGGACGAGGGGGTGGGGAGGACAGGACAGGACATCCGCATGAGGGGGTCATCGTCAATGCGCCCGCGAAGGTGCAGAGTAGAGCGTACGTATGCGTGACTCCCCTGCGTGAGTGTGATGCAGCAAGAGGACTCGACAGCCCTTCGACATCTGGTGGTTCAGGTAACTGCCAGGGCCTGCGCAGAGGCGTGCACGCAGGAGGGGAGGGAAGGAGGGAGGGAGGGAGGGAGGGAGGGGAGGGAGGGAGCCAGGCGGAGGAGGGAACACGAAGGCTGGGCCCTTTTGCCCCCCCCCCCCCGTGCGTGGCCTCCGCAGGCGGGCCGCCCTCGCGCGCCTCCTCGCGGTGGCCGCTGCCGCGGCCGCGGACGCGCACCTCGGGGGGGCGGGGGGGGCGGGGCGGGCGGGGGCGGAGGGGCGGGAGGGGCGGGGGGCGCCTCGAGGTGGGCGGGCGAGCACGAGCGGTACGGAGGTGGGGCAGCTGGCTCCGAGGGCGGGCGGCTCGGGGCGCGAAGCCACGCCGGGGCGTACCCGCACGGAGCTCAGCGCGGCGGAGCACTGGGGCATCACGTGCGCGATACTGATCAGGCACGGTGCCCTCCGCACCAGCGACAGGGCTAGGACGGGGCGGCTCGAGGTGGGCGGGCGGCCGCCGCGCCGTCCTATCGCTCCGTCCTCTGCCCTCTGCCCTCCGCCCCACCCTCTTCCTCCTCTCCTGCTCCTCAGGCAAGCTGCGGGGCACACGCCTGGAGCGTTGAGCCTCCTCCTCGCTCCCTCCTTCCCTCGCTGCTCGTCCTCCCTTCCTCCTCCTCCTCCTCCGAGAAGTCCAGCAAAGACGTACGCGCGCAAACACCTACCCCTCCCCGCCTGCGAGGCTAGCCTCGTGTTGCGAACGTTCGCGCAGTGCACACCCTCGAAACGCACAGGAGTTCATGTACGAGCTCAGGGCAGAACCTAACGGTGTTTTTCGTTTTTTTTTTGGTTTTCGTTTTCCCTCGCTTTTGTCTCGCATCCGCCTTTACCACGAAACGAAATCGAAACGAAAACGGCCCACGAAATCACCAAAAACACTGTTTAGGCCCAGTCCTGTACGAGCTCCTGATCCTCCTCCTAGCGGATGTGGCGGACGTGTCGGGCGCTGCAGCCGTTCCAGATCGCTCTGGAAAGCTCCGAATGTTCTGATGCGCTCTTGGACGAACTGTCCTCCACCTGGGAATGCCTGACGCTGTCGCCGCCTCCCTCCCATCGACTCCTGCTCCGGGATAGCCGCTACCCATGCCATGCGCCATTCGCTCCCTACGCTAACTACCATCTCCAGACGTGGCGTCGTGGCCATGGCTGGTTTCGGCCTGGCCAACATGCATCGGCCCTCGTGGCATCGTCTCCTCTCCGTCGCCGTCCATCGAGATCCTTTCCATGAGAAAACCAACGGGATCCTCCCCATGAAAGAAGCGGATCCTGAAGGAACCGGGTCCTGGACTAGGGGAACAAAAAATGACAGAAACATAAGAACTCGGAGGTCCGCGCGGATTTCTCGGATCGGCGCTGGACCCCCCTCCCTGGCGCGCGGAGCGCGCCAGGGGCGGCGCCGGAGGCGCCGCCGGGGGGCCCCAGCGCCGATCGGAGAAATCCGCGCGGACCTCAGAGTTTTTATGGTTACGCCACTTTTTGTGCCCCCATGGACTCGTGTCTTTCATAGGGAGGAGGAAGGAAGGGGAGGGAAGCGGAGGGGAGGGGAGGGGAGGGGAGGGGAGGGGAGGAGGAGTCGGGGAGGGGAGGAGGGGAGGGAGGAGGGGGAGGAAGATCCTCCCCACGGAAGAACCGGGACCTGGACCCCGGGACGTCTCCCGGGGACCAGACCTTCGTCCTGCATCTTCTTGCTGGCAGCCCCGGGGCCCGCGGAGGGCCCCCCGAGCTCGACAAGAGCGGCGAAGGACCTTCTAGGACCCGCTGCCCTCGGACCCAGCTCGCTGCCCGGCGAGAGCCGAGCGAGACCGACGGCATCGTTCTCGACGGCATGGTCATCCGCTCTCCTGGAGGAAATACAGACCTTCACGCTCCACCTTCCTGGAGGCCACATGCGAACCCTGTCCCTACGCCCCACGATTTCTGAGGGGGAGGGTGGGGGTAGGGTTCGCATGTGGCCCCCTAGGCGAGATCCGAGCGAGACCGAGAACATCACTCTCAACAGCATGGCCGAGCCGCGCTCTGGGATCCGGACCGCGAGTGCGTGGATACGGACCCAGACATGCGACGTCCTGATTTTTCAGGACGGCGTCCCCGGAAGTCCCGACCCTCTCCCCGGGGCCAAATTTTCATCCTGAGTCGTTTTTTTGACGCTCCCGGGCACCAGCGAGGGCCCCCCAGGGCCGAGAATCGCGAAACAAAAACCCGTCCTGACTTTTTTACCACGCGAGCAACATCTGGGGATAGGACTTCTGCCCCGCAGCGCGCGCAGTGCCGGGGGGCACGAGGAGGGGAGCCGCGCGGGCGTGCAGCCGGGCGGGGCGCCGTGCCGTTGCCGGGGGAGGACGGGGGGGAGGGGGGGGATTCTTCCTGCGAGCCTTCTCTGCGACGAAGACAATGGTCTCGTGGTCTCTAGTTAATTAGGTCGGGCCTGTCCCCCTGCAGGGGGGTTTTGGACGAAACACATAAATACCCAAATCATGTTCCAAACATGGGCAAAAGTACTAAAACAAAATCGTTCCCCGATTATTTGTTTGGCCATTTTTCAATATTCCCCCTGTAGAGGGACATGCCCGACTTAAGTCTATAGACGTGTCCACTACGAATGTGTCTATGTACGTAAGGGCACCCCTTGTCTCTGCAGACGCTTGTGGCTAAGAACGTGAGAGCGATGTTCGGCGTATAATCCCGATCGTGGCCTTCTGGAAACAGGTCGACTTCACACTCCAATTTGGACAGGAGGAAGGGAAGCAGGTCGGCGTTGCCCCCTAACTTAGAGATGGCTTTTCTTCATCCCCGGGCGGCGCGGCGAGGCCAGCAGGCAAGCGCAACGCGCGCCTAGTCAAAAAGTGCAGCGCAGCCGGGGGGAGGCGTCGCAGCGCCAGAGTCGCGTGCTTCGTCATGCCAGCGTTGCGTAGGGCCGCTTTGCCGCTGCCAGCGCTGCCAGCACACGATCCCTCCGGCACGTGCGGCGCGAAAGTGTTCGCCCTGCTTGGAGCTGGCTCGCTGCGCGCCGCCCCCCCTCCCTCGACTGGGACCCCCTTGTCCACCCCCCGCCGCACCCAGGGGCCCGTTTGCCCCCCGATCGGGATGCTTGCCTCCCCCCCTCCTTCCCATTCCCTCACCTCTCGCGTGGCGCATCTCCTTCCCTCCCTCTGTTGCAACCTTGCCCCCCGAAGATCTGGGCACCTCGACCTCTCCCCCACGTCCAACTCTTCGTCACCGATCTTCTCATGACGGTCACGCCGTGGCTTGCCGAGGGCCCCTGGCAGCTGGAGCTGGTCCCGGGGAGGTCTGGCTCGCAGTGTTCCGTTTGCGCGACGCGAGGAGGCCTGGGCCGGTCACCCGCCTGCTTGTTTCCAGAACATACTTAGGGCCTCGCGCAGCCGTTCGGGACGATTCCGGCACCCCGGGAACGCTCTCGACGAGACGTGGGAACCACCCCGGGCCCCAAAAATCTCCGAACACCTTCAAACACCTCCTCCCCTCGACCGCCCCCCCGCCCCCCTCGCATCTCAGTATCGCCAGTCCTATCCCCACCCCCAGAGAGAAAGACTTGGCCCTAAGCCTGGTGGGGGTAGACGTCTCTGGTCCTGGCCGTCTAGTTTCGCGGCCGCCACTTTGGAATCCCGAAACGGTGCGGTGACGGACCGTGCGGTGACCTCGAAATCCCCCCAAACATCACCGCACGGTCCGTCACCGCACGGTTCTGGGACCCTGGAGGCCCCTGTCGCCCGAGACGTCCTCGGAGAGGGACTCGAGTCCCAAAACCGTGCGGTGACCCCGAACCCCCACCGACTCACCGCACGGTGTGGTCACCACCCCGTTTGGGGGTCCCCGAGGCACCCCCACCTCCAGGGCGTGGGCCGGTGGCGCCCGGGAGCCCTGGCGCGCCGCCCCATCCAGCGGAGCCGCCCTGGCCCGACCGCGAGGCCCTCCTGTGAAGAGCCTGCGCGCGACGCCGACAAGCAGCGCGAGGGAAGGAGGAAGACGACACCTGACCAGGACAGATCGGGACCTCTCTTTCTGTTGCTCCCATCGTACTTTCGGGAGCGGCAAAGAGGGGGGTGTCCAAGAGGGGGGGGTGCAAATCATGACCGGCGGCATGTGCGCGGCCCAGCGGGGGGACCAGGGACGTAATGAAACAAGAAGAGGCGCCATGAAATCTGGGGAAAAATCATGGCCCGCGCCATGAAATCCACCCCCCCTAGTCATCACCCCCTTTTTTTTCCGCTCCCGATACTTAAGGACCACATCCCAGAACAGAAATTCGAGCATCCGGAAAAGTGCCGAAAGAGTGTCGGAACAGCGCCGAACAGTGTCGGGCGAGTGCCTCCAGGGCCCGACACGTGAACACCCTCGGCTCTTTTTCGGTGCTCGAACTTGATTATCTCTGGAGATCGAGGCTAAATTACGCTGGAACATTTCAAACCTATCTTTATGTTGTTCCCATCCTACTTAAGAACCGCATCCCAGAAATAATTTCGAGCACCCGGAAAAGTGTGAAAAGAGTGTCGAAACAGCGTCGAAGCAGTGTCGGGCGAGTGTCTCCCGGGGCCCGACAGGGGAAAACCCTCGAGTTTCGAAACTTCTTTGGGCGCTCGAACTTCTTCCTGGTGATCAAGGCTACAGTAGGCTGGAACATCATACGGCAGGTTCGTGTCGTGCCGACCCCAGCGTTGGTTTTTGATTCCGCAGGGATCGTTCAACCTTGAACGATCGGCCGCTGCCGCAACGTCCGATCGTTCAACATCGATCGATTCTGGGTCGCCGGCGGCGTTCAACCTTGAACGCCCGCGCTGGGGTCGCCGCTGGTCGACACGACGCAAACCTACCGTACACCTATCTGGGAGTCGGCGGGCTCGGCCGCGCGGTGACCTCGAACGCCCAAGAGACCCCACCGCGCGGTCCGCCACCGCACGGCTGCGGGAAACCCTGGAGGCTCCGGCCTCCCGGCACGCCCACGGAGGGCGGCCCCGAGCCCCGAGACTTTGGTCGGGCACGTCCCCCTGGAGGGGGATTCTTTGGACGAAAAACCGAAGCTACTCAAAACATACTCCCCGGAGTTTTTTTTTTTTCTCCAAAAAAAAACATATATATATATATGTATATATATATATATATATATATAAAAAACAAAAAAATCATTTTTGGATACTCCTCCTGTAGAGGGGCACGCCCGACTTCACCCAAGACCGTGCGGCGGCCCCGCCTCGCCGCTGAGCTTGCCGTCGCTCGGACGTCCATGCCCCGTGCACGTTTCGGTTTCGTGCGTTGCTTTCTCGCTGGATGAACCCAAGATGCACCTCGATGGTCCTCGCCGAGGAAACATGCACACGTCGGAGCGATGCCACGCGACTCTCCACGCCGTGCGGTCGCCGCACCGCTCTGGGCCCCCCGAATTTGAGCAATATGCCCCGTATAGTGAAAAAGACCCCCGGGACCAGGCCCAGCGGGCGCAAGCCCGCCCAAACTACGGCCACGACGCCCTCCCTCGAGAAGCGAACGACACGATTCACGAATCGACGTGTCGGGTGTTGCTAGAAGTGCCCCTGTCGGGGAGACGTAAGACTCGGGTACGGGGGACTCGGGTTGGCCCGACGGGGCCATCATAAAAATGACGAGGCCCAATCCGAAATTTGACGCGAGCTCCCGCTGCAGACATCCCACGAAAACGGGACCGTCAAAATCCAGGACGCGCTCGTCAAAAAAAATAGGCAAACCCGAGTTCCGGCTTACTCGGGTCTTGCGCTCCCCCGACCCCTGGCCCAAGGTGCCCCCAGGATGCACGGGGGAGCCCAGGCGGCCTCAAGAGCACACCCCCCCACGAGGCCCAGAGGGCCTCACGGGCTCCAGCAGGGAGCGACACGCGGGGGGCACCCTGGGCCCGGGGCACCTCCAGCAGCGCCCCGCACGTGCCAGGACTTGGGGCTCCCTCGGCCTCCCGTCGGCAAGGCTCCGCGAGCGTTTCGGCACGACCCGGGGCGACGTGTCCCCTCCGTTCCGCCCCCCTCCTCCTCCTCCTCCTCCTCCTCCTCCTCCTCCTCCTCCTCCTCCTCCTCCTCCTCCTCCTCCGCCCCGCCGTGCGGCACGGGCGGCGAGCCTTCCCCTCGCAGGCCGCCGCGATGGCGCGCACGTTGCAGCCCCCGCGGCCGATCAGGCGCGGCACCAGCTGTGGGGCCGCTTCGCTTTCTTTGGGCTGAAGGAGCCCACGAGCCTGGTGAGGAATCCCGCCAGACCTCTGGGCGAGTGGTTGCAGGCGTCGTCTTCTCTTCCGTGCTCCCTGCTTCCCCTTGGGGAAGGGGCTCATCACTGTTCCCCATTGATGAACACCCCCGCCCCCAGGCGACCAGCAGCCAACCAGGACCAATGATGACCCCTCTCACCATCCCTGTATGCGAATTCCACTTCGGGGCAAAATCTTGGGTCATAATCGGGGGGGGCGCGGGAATGTGTATGTTTTTGTTGACAGGGACGGCGGGGGTGCCCGCATATTGCCTGCTGCGCGCAGAGCCACCATCCCTGTCAGACAAACAAAACAACATACACTTCGAGGGCAACACCTGGATCATGCCCGGGCACCCCGCTGGCATATGACCTGCTGTGTGCAGGCCCACCAGACACTCTGATGGCCACCCAACCACGATTGCGCACTCGTCTTCGACAACAGTGGTGGGGGCCGACACGTTTCCCGATGCGTACCGCCTCGTGCGCAGGCGCACCTGGCACACTCTGCGTGTGCCCCGAACGTGGCGCACCTGGCGCGGCTGGAGCATGGCGCACGTGGATCACATGGCGCATCTGGCGCACCAGGCGTGCCTGGCACGCTCGGGTCACAGGGGTGCCTGGCGCACTTGGCGCGCGTGGCGCCGCCTGGCACGCCTCGTCCCAGCGTTGCGCACATGGCATCTGTGTTGGTTCCCACTAATGATCTGTCCATCCAAAGACGACCGCTGAACATGCTGCGGCTCGGGTGCTACTTGTGTGTTGAGAGGGCGGGTGGGAGTGAGCGAGACGGCTTGCGGGCTGGGAGGGTGCCTTGACCCCTCCCCCCCCCCTCCCCGACCAAGACTGGGCGCTGCGCGACCGATCGGACCGCCCCAAGACGGCTCCAAGTTGCATCGGAGCACCCCCAAAAGAGCCCCCACGAGGCCAGCCTCCTTCGAACTCGGAACTCGGAACTCGGGAGTCCTCGAAAGACCGTCACGCAGGACGGCGCTGCCGGGGGTGTGCAGGACACAGATAATCCTGCAGACCAAGAGTGCCCTATGAAGGGCCACGATAAGCCGCCGTCTCGAAGATGTAGAATCCGAGCGCCGAGTGACAAGAGGCTCGGGGCGGCAAACACGACCGTAGGAGAATCAATGTTTTTTGCTTTCTTGCCTTTTCGCTGCCCCGTGGCCTTCCGAAGTCTCGAGGTGTCTCCAAGAGGACCCAGGAAGGCACCCAGAGAGGCCCACGGAGGCTCCGAGAACGCCCAAGAGAGCGCTCCAAGAAGGTCCTAAGCTCGCCATCGCTCGGACGTCCATTCCCCGTGCATTTTTCGATTTCGTGCGTGGTTTTCCCCCAAATGATCAAGGATGCTCCTCGATGGTCCTCGCCGAAGGGAAAATGCACACGTCCGAGCGATGCCACGCAAGAGGCGATTATGGAAGCTCTCGATGGGCGCCGGTAACCACGGACCCCTCCCTGCTCTGAGCGATGGATGTCCTACACGATGGCCTCAAGAGGGCCTCCGGGGCTCCCAAGAGAGCTCCAAGAGGTCCCCGAGAAGTGCCTAAACGGCTCCAAGAGGCCTCAAGAGGCACCCCTCAACGGCACTCAAGACGCCCCAAGGGGCCCTCGAGAACGCTAAGAGGCATCCAAGAGGCCTCTTAGCGGCCTCTTCAGGATTTTGGACCCCCCCACACCTCCCCCGATGCGCCGTTGCGTGGCGCCTGGCTTGTGACCGACACCTCCTCCCCTCTGCGCAGGAGAGGGTTTTTTGGGGGGAACCACTGCGTGTTAGGCTTAGGATGGAAGGCTTTGGGTGGTAGGGCTTAGGGCTCAGGGTGTTAGGCTTTGGGTGCTTGGGTTTAGGGCTTAGTGCTCAGGGTTTATGGCTTAGGGCTGAGGGCTTAGAGTGTTAGGTCTTTTGGCTTAGAGCTTAAGATTTAGGGCCTAGGGCTTAGAGCTTAGGGCTTTAAGACTTCGGGCTTATGGCGGTAGGGTTCGGAGTAAGGTGTTTGGGTCAGGGTGTTAGGGTGAGGGCGGCAGGGTAAGGGTTAGGGCGGTAAGGTTCGGAGTGGACTGTTAGGGGCCAGGTAGGGGTAGGGTGGCAGGGTTAGGGAATTAGGTCTGATGGATCATGGCTTAGGGCGGTAGGGTTCGGGTTAGGGTGTTCGGGTTAGGGTGTTAGGGTGAGGGCGGTAGGGCTAGGTAGGGGTAGTGTGTCAGGGTCAGGATGTTCGGGTTAAGGCCGTGCAAGTTCGGCATAGGGTATTAGAGTTAGGTTTAGGGCGGTAGGCTTAGGGTGATAGGGAATCGCTGGTTTGTGTGTTCGGGCTAGGGTTTCAGGGTTAGGGTTAGGATGTCAGGGTTAGGGTGGTAGGGTTAGGGGGTCGGATTCTGGAGCCAGGGGGGCGGCGTGGCCAAAAAGGGGGGATCGGGGGCAGGGCCAAATCTTCAACTCCAGAAAAGGCAAGGTCCGGGACAACGGATCGGGAAGGGGGGGTCCCGGGACGACGGACCGCGGAAGGGGGGAGGAGGGTCAGGTTCCGAACCCCTCCCTCCCCCCTTTGGGGCATCCAGCGGCGCGCCCCGAGCACTCTTGGGCACTTCGCGCAGCTTTCCTGAATGCCTCGGGGGCGCGATTGCGATCACATACGTTTAACATGGTTCGGGGGTGCTTCACGGGCACGTGCTGGAGCCCTCTTGGGCGCCTCTTCAGCCGTCTTGGAGGCATTGGAGGCTCTGGGAACCGCCCCAAGAGGCGAACTTCCTTCATCAGACACACGTGCTGCGATTATCAGAGCGTGAATTACCTCCCCCGCTTTCGCTTCCAGGCAAAACCAAGCCATACCACGCGCCTCCTCGTCAAGCAGCCTGGCCAGTACAGGCCGCAATTTGGCATCGTTTGGTATCTCTTGGAAGCGAGGGTGGTCAAAAGCGAGGTAGGTTTGTTTTCCCCCGAGCTTATGCAGCCTTCTCGCCTTTGTCGGCCTTACGAGCGCCCAAGACGGCCCCCATGCATCTCCCCGGGACGGTTTCCAAAACCCGGGAGCACGCACGACGCCCCCCAAAGCTGGGGCACCTCGAGAGCCTGACGCTTCGGGCCCGATTCCCCGAAGGTGGCCTCCAAGACCGCCACGAGGCCCCCAAGAGATCCCAAGCGGACCTCCAAGAGGCATCCCACGGTACCCCAAGGCACATCTGAGAGGCCTCCTGTCCCCGACCCCGACACGGTGGCACGCTGGGCAGAAGACCGCTAGCGGCCCCTCGCCCCCCAAATGTTGGACCCTCGTTTTCTATGGGAAGAAAACCCAAGCCGGATGAAGACACGCACAGAATTAACACACAATACTCTCTCTCTCTCTCTTTCTCTCCCTCCTTCCCTTCCTCCCTGCCTCCCTCCCTCCTTCTCTATCCACCTCTCTCTCCACACCAACACACTCACACACCCACGTACACCCACACACCCACACACACACACCCACACACAAACACACAAACACACCCACGCACACCAATACACACACCAATACACACACCAATACACACCCACATACACCCCCCCCAACACACACACACCCACACCCACACCCACACCCACACCCACACCCACACCCACACCCACACCCACACCCAC